ACTAAAGACATTGCTGCCCATTTACAGACTGACACTGGTTTGTTTTTTGCCCATATGTCTATTTAACCTCTGTTTCCTTTGCAGGGAAGAAAGAGAATATTTTCTTTCCCTTTTCTTATTAAAATTCCAATTGCTCCCCTAGAGAGATCTCTCTGAGAAGCCATAGGGAAGAAAGGCAAAGTAGCTCATACTCCATTGTTCTCACTGTCTGTTCTGAATGTGCATGAAAAATTCTTCTCTTTCCTCCCTGGTCTGAAAGTGTTTGCCAGGTAACAGGAAACCTATGAGAAAATCAGAGGCTTCAGTCCCTCGTGCCTCTCCTGGTCCTCAGATCAAAGACACTCGGGGCTTAAAACTCTTTTAAAAACTCTAAAATTCAAGATCAGATTTAAAATTCTGAAATCAATATCATATTGCTGTTCTGTTCAATGCTATTTATTTATCTACCTTTTAAAAATTTTAGACAGAGTCTTACTACATAACCCTGGCTAGCTTATTTTTATATAATCATTAAACACATGGCCCATGACTTTCTTTGAAAACAAGTATTACTGGAAAATGTGCATGTTTGCAGATACATAACATTTTGCTTTATGGTTTCAGGGAGTCTCAGACCAGCTAAACTGCCTCAGCCAACCTGGGGTCAGCAGCTGTGAGTTGGAACTAAAATATTAGGTGATCAAGAGAAAGAAATAGTCAACTAAATATGTAAAGCAAAGAAGTGTCTGTCTTATGCTCCAAAATTCTGAAATAAAGACGATTTAAAAATATTGTGCCCCGATATAGAAATAAAAGATTAATTCCAGTGAACTACAGACTGAATTTTCTTCAGAAAAATGAAGTCATAAAGATTCATATTCCAAACACATGTAATGTGATTGCTGAGAAAAGACACAGGGCCCAGACATGCTGTATGTCTTCATGTATGTATTATACATGTATGTACACCCACATGTATGTAATGAGATTGCTGAGAAAAGACATAGGGACCAGACATGCCGTACACTCACATGTATGTAATGGAGTTGCTGCAGAAAGAAAGGCACAAGGTCCAGACATACACACAGGTCCAGACATGCATAGGGTCCAGACATGCACAGGGTCCAGACATGCACAGGGTCCAGCACCCATAGCTGATGCAGGAGAACCTGGAAGCCTCCAATAAGGCAATTTTTCAGGACTGGGAGGAAGAGGAGCCAAGCTGGTCATGGACTTCTAAGGTCTCTCCAGTGCTGTGAATCAGAGATAGTCAGCAGCAGTGTTCCCAGACAGAAAAAGAGAGTGGAGATTCTTGGGCTGTATTATCTGCACAGGACCAAGAAGTTGGTGGTACCCTCAGGATGGAGGAGCATCTCCTTTGGAGTACTGCACCTCACTTCACAGGCAGTAAAGGAAGGGAGATTGAATGCTCTTAAAGATACACAACCAAAGGGTTATCAGTGTTAAAAAACCAAGAGAAAATCCAAACAGCAGAATTATCCTCCAGAACTGATCTCATAGAACAAAGTAAGATTTCTAATTATTATAACGATTTAGGCCAGGTTGTGTGGTGCATGCCTTTAATCCCACTCAGGAGGCAGAGGCAGGCAGATTTCTGTGAGTTTGAGGCCAGACTGATCTATAGAGAGAGTTTCAGGACAGCCAGGGTTGTTACACATGCGCTGAAGATACAATAGAGGAAATAGACCTTCGTACTCGATGTTACACTGCTGATAGATGGTAGAGGGGCTCCAACTTTCCTGGACTCCAGGGTGGCACTTTTAACCACTCTGCATTAGTGCTTCAAGTTTATCAAATGCTGTGACCCCATGCCTGCAGCAGGAAACGCTCCATGTATGGTCTTGCCTTTCTGAGGAACAAGGACCTCATGGGGGAAGCACAGAAAATTTTAAATACATAGCTGTGGTTCCTATTCCACTGAGAGTTAAGTAGTTCAGCTCAGTTGACTAAAAAAGAATTCTACGGGGGTTGGAGGGTGATGGCTCAGTACTTAAAAGCACCGAACACTTCCAGAAGACCTGGACCAGCATCTCCATGAAGGCTCACTCTTGGCTGTCACTCAGGGGAACTTTTGAATTTGAGAGTGGTTTTTCATATTCATTTTACACTTGCTGTGCAGTGATGTGGGGTTCTCTGATTGTAGCTCTCATGGCTAATTGTGGAAACTATGTCTTTCTAGTCTTCAGTTTACCTCCTGTAGAAAAATGGGGACATAATCTAACCCTCCCACAGGGAACAGTACACAGGATAATACAACTGAAACAATAAATCAACAGTGTGTTATTATTGGTGGCATGCTATCTGTTTTGAGGAGTTTCAGGGGAGTAATGCTTAGCTTATCCATAGAGGGTAACAATCCAGTCTTTGAACAGTGCCAGACACACATAGCTTTGAGTTTCACATCCACTAATTACTAAGGTTTGGGGGCAGATTATTTACTCTCTCAGCTTTGTGAGCTTTACCTATAAAATAATATTTAGATTACATAGTGGATATAAACATTAAATTAGACTCCATTTAGCTCATTTTTTATCATTGATTAGTTTTCCCTGTCATTGGTTTTTATTTTCAATCAACTATAAGTGTGGAGAGGATTGGAGCACATTAGCATATTTTGCATAAAATTTCCATTTCACTAATCTTTTTATTTCTGCTCTGATAGAATATTAAGTAGCTACCTATATTAACAAAGCATAGCTTTAAAACCTTAGATTTCCACATGGTTACCCTTCATTAGGATGGCATTTTTCTTGTTTGGTCTCTGTTTAAACACTTACTACCAATTGGTTGGTTGGTGGCTGATTAAGTCACTAATATTCATGCCACAAATCAGAAGTGGATTCTAATAAGAATTCGTAGGACTAGAAATCAAAAAGGGTTGGGGAATAGTGTAGCCAGTGTTGCCTGGGGAAGGCACGGTCCTGGTGCCGATAGCTGGTGAGTCTCTGAGGCTGCAAGTCCTCTTCTGAAGAGACTGGAGCAGTACCTTTTCCAAGGTTGCCTCTGTAAATGGAGACAGCTTGAATATTTTCCAGCCGCCCAGACCCAAATAATCACACAGAAACTATATTAATTACAACACTGTGTGGCCAATGACTCAAGCATATTCCTAGCTAGCTCTTATATCTTAAAATAACCCATTTCTATTAATCTATGTATCACCATGAGATTGTGGCCTCCCAATAAGGTTCCCGAGGTGTCTTTCTCCCTTGGCAGCTATATGGCATCTCCCTGACTCTGCCTACTCTCTCTCTATATCGTATTTCCCACCTAGCTTTACTCCAATAAGCCTTGTTCAAAACAGCTTTATTCATTAGCCAATAAAAGCAACACATATACAGAAGGACCTCCCACATCATCCCTCAACCCATCCAGTACCACACAGAATCTGACCTCCACGTATGAACTGTGGGTTTCTTATCCCAAAGTCTGACTTCAGGGTACAGGCTCCTGATAACTGTACCCAGTTCAGACCTGGGTTGCCATAAAATACATTCCCTTTCAGCTGGGTGAGTGTTCCTAAGAACCAGTGGGTTGCATGTATTCTACCAGCTTTCGTGTGCAAGCCTGAAATGAACATTGTTACCTCATCCTGCTGGTTACGGCCAGATCTCCACCCATGGTAGTGGTGACTGTTCTTATCTGCTGGCCTGTGAGTGCAAGGAGTTTCAAGTGCCCTAGCATTTGGATCACTGGAGCTCTTGGTACATGTCTTCACAAAACACTTTGACTCTCCTTTGATATCAGGAACCTTAACCTTTGAGAGTCCAGAGTTTTCTGGAAGGAGATCCCTGTGTGTCAATGGCAGTGGTGGCAAGTGGGGCCATCTTTCTTCAAATGTACAATTGTTTGAACATAGTTTAGGGATGCCCCTCTAGAATTCTTGTGTTGGAAACTTAGTCCTAAGCATCGTGGTGTGAGAGTTAGTTTAGCAGGAGGTCTTGAAGTTATCGGGACTGTATCTCAGATGGGATTAAAGTAGGCTTTGTGGGACCTCCATCATGCCCTGGCTTCTTTGCTTTCCACGTGATACCTCTCACATGTGTTCCCACCATGATGCCACCTGCCATGAGCTCCTCATAACATTTGTACGATGCCTTTTGGACTTTCAGCCTCCCGAACTGCTAAATAAGCATCTTCATAAGAATCTTCATAATTCTTATGGTTTCTGATATCTTGCTATAGTGATGTACACACACACACACCTTGGGCATCAGAAATGTGTACTTCTTATAGGGGGACAGACAGCACCATATAAAGGCCTCTGGTTTAGTCTTTAAGGATGGCAGCATTTCTAGGGCAGTGTGCCCATAATGGCACCTCAGCTCTATCTGTGTATGACCACAGCAATACTGTGGAAAGTCGGGAACTTTGAGACGGTGCTATAAATGGCATGGTATGAGTGGATTGCCCACACTCACGCCTACTTTTCTGTAATACCATGCTCTCTGGGAACTTATGCAAGTAAACATTCTCTAAGTCCCCAGAGGGTGGTGCTGACTGAGGCTCCGAGAGGTCAAAAGGTCATTCTATGGCCTGGAGAGATGGCTCAGAGGTTAATAGCATTGCCTGCTCTTCCAAAGGTCCTGAGTTCAATTCCCAGCAACCACATGGTGGCTCACAACCATCTGTAATGGGGCCTGGTGCCCTCTTCTGGCCTGCAGGCATACACACAGATAGAATATTGTATACATAATAAATAAATAAATATTTTTTAAAAAATAAAGTTGAAAAAAAAAGGTCATTCTATACCCAAAACAGGCCTTTTCCCTACAAAGCTTAACTATTGACCTTTCTAGAATGGAAAGGGCCCTGCCTAGTTTTCTTTCCATCGGGTGATGGGTTGACCTCAAGGTAGAGTGTCATCCATCCTGGCCTCTGGTGATGACAGGTTAGACATTAGGAAATAGCGATGGCTAAGTCAGTTTTGGTAATAGAGACGACATCATTGAGCCCATGTGTAGTCTTTGTCTCTGCTATAATTCTCTTCTCTCTTCTAGTTGCATTGATTCCTGTATAGGTTGTGACAGATGTGAGAGACAGGAGGAGGCTCTGGGGTCATGTGACTGGAAGAGTTAGACTGACCCTCAACACCTGCAGTGGTTAAAAACCGGCACACCCTCCGGTCAGCACAATGGAGCTGGACCTGTCGTCAGGAACGCAGGTGAACCAGCCCTGAGGGCGTGAGGGCAGGAGAGCTGCCTCTGCCCCTTCACATGCACCACATGGTTGCAGAGGTGAGGGAAAGATTGACCTCCCACCTTTACCCCTTGCTACTGTGGGAGGTGACAGAGCTGGCCCCAGGGTCAAAGAAATGGGAGAGCTAGTCCTGCTCCTCACCAACAGCAGCATGAGAGAGAGAGAGAGAGAGAGAGAGAGAGAGAGAGAGAGCCCTGTACTCCACTTGGGCAGCACACTAGAGCTGACTCTGTTGTGGGGGGTGGGTAATGAGGGCGGGAGAGCAGACACCCCATCCCCGGCCATCTTCATATGCCCACCACAGCAATCAGGAGAGAGGGCCCCGCACCTGGCCTGGGAGACACCTGATGGCGTGAATGCAGGCGAAATGGACCTGAGGGCCTGACAGCAGAAGAACCGGCCCTGCTCCTTGCTGCAAGCCGCACTGGGTGAGCTAGCTGAAGCAGCCCTGGAGCTCCTCCGGAGAGTGACAAGAAGGGAAAGCTAGGGGGCTGTCCAACACAGCTACCCCCCAGGCCCAGAACCAGGGCAAGCGTTAGCCCACCCCAACATTAGCCTATCTGTGAAGGGACTAAACCTACAATTCCAAGACAGCAGGATCTCCATGGCATAGGACACAACAGGATATCCAAGAGGAGCCCCAGAAACCAGAAGCCTCCAGCCAGACCAATGACTCATAGCAATGAACACTTGCAAGATGAATGAACTAAAGGGGAAACTGTGCTCAACAGGCCACATTATAGCTTCCATGACAAGATTCT